GAAATATTGATTTTATCTAAAAATATATATATCACACACATACACACACACTATACATATATATGACAGATGAAACTTGCTTGATTCCTGGTTCGATATGAACAGCATTTATTATATGAATAACCAATATATTTAAAGTGATAAAAAAAATGCACTAGCATTGAACATCTAGAAAAACCAAGGCTTCAGGTTGAGTCAGAAAAAAGATGTCCAAATTTCCAGCTAGGAACCATAATTCAGGAATAAATACACTGGAGATATCCCTCTAAAACGACCATCTAATGACAACAACCTGGTTTCAAAGGCAGAGGTCCCCGTTATCAACCGGTGCATTTACGAACAAAATCACCAAGGAATAATGAAAGCCTGTATGTTTCCTGCAGCACCAATTATCATTTGACACAGCATCCACTCACATAACCAACTAAATTAAATTCTGCTCGCTAAACATTAATGCAGAAACTGAACTAGCAAAAAGTAACCAAGAGGTGATCTCTCAGAGCTCCATAGTCTGTACCAAAGTGTATGAAGCGAGCAGATCAAAGTTACTTTGGCAAGCAACTCCAAGTAGCAAATCATTGAACTCCAGAACAACTTCAGCAGTGCAAGCATTAGGCAACAGAAAAATGGCTCCCAGCTTCCACCCTACTTGTCAATGCTTTCTCTGCAGATGGTAGCAACGATCAGTTCAAAGTCATCTAAACATCCAAAGCTGAATAACGTTTTCTCATGCATTTGTGATATAGCCTTGACAGGTTAGGTTTTTGCAGCTAAGCAGTTTTGTAACAACAGTCAGTAATCCGACATATTTTGCTAGTTAGCTACCACATAATGATTAACATAAGGTTTCAAAAATAGAAGACAACATAAAAGATTGAGTTGTTTCTTATCTTGATATACCTTGCGCCTTTTAAATTTCTTCCCTTGTTTGTCATTATTCATGTGACTAGAGGTCTCATCATTTTCCTTCTCTTCCATTGGAAGCATTCTGATCTCGTCGTAGAAGCCATCAGTCAATCCAAGCAATCTGTTAAATACCATGTATTAAACATCAGAAACAAATTCAGGATAATAAAAATAGATCAAATTACAACATATTATGATAGGACTGGAATACTGTAGTAAGTACATAAAGATTGAACAGCAGATAAATAGACTAAACCATCAGGAAAACTGCTGAAATGATGCCAACATTGAGGTTAATACAACTTTAGCTCTGTTGCCGCTTATGTGAGTCTGGCAGTCTACTAATTACTAATAAAGAAACACACTCTTCTGCTCGAAGATTTTGACTATGCTGAGTTGAGGATTAGAACAACCAGAAATCAAAGCTACCAAATTTGGTAAGTCCTAGAACATTACAGAAGCAACAACTTCCATTGAACTTCTTCAAATGTTCTCCTACCTAGCAAATATTCAGCTGCATTAGTTGAATATGGGACATATGTATTTAATCAGCTATTTTTTGTCCAACATTTAATCTTTGATATAACAACCAAACAGTTTACTTATGGCCATAAAAGAATTACTACCGGAACTTATATGATATCCCAACATACCCATTTCTTGACTTCTTCATGTGTTTCTCTATTTGCTTATCTCGCTTTGCAACTGGTGCACGAGTGAAAAGCTCTTCTTCCTGCCTGGCACGTTCCTCTCGCTTTGCCACGTATCTTGTAAGCTCTCTGCTTTCAGCCCCTATATTTTCTCTTAGCTACAGATAAGATTCAGTACATGTCAGCATACTAAGTGTAGTAAGTTGTATTTTGATTAAAAGAAACAATGAACCACCAACCTCTTCAGGTCTATCTTCAAAGTCATCCATCAGCTCTTTAACATAAGTACTTTGTTTTGCCTGTCGCAATAATGCTTTCTCTCTTCGAAGGGCCTGTTTTTCCTGCTTTGATATCTTATCCTCATCCATACTAGTAGGAGCAAACCTCGGAGGGCGGTAGACACCTCCAGCATCCTAAAATATAACAAAAAATTTGTTTTTGATTTATTCAAAAAACACAAAATATTAGCATTCTAAGCATTCGCATTTCATGCGAATAAAACAAAGATATATTGTTACTTGTGAACTTGACAATGTTATTTTCCAGATGATATTTGATTGAATGTTAAGACTAAAGAAACCATTATACTAATTAGCATGAAGGGTAAGGGATCATATGAACAAAAACGATAAGGCAATATGGCAAGAAGTAGGACTTACCACATTAATGAAAGAAAATAAATGAACCTTGAAAGGAAGGTTACAATTAAAAAAGAACATACACAAAATATTTAAGTTGAACAGCAAAAAAAATTCAGCATGTCCAATTACATACACACATAGGTGAGTTAACATTCATAGACCAAAAAGCTGCTATAGTACCATACTGTCAGCAGGTTACCTGGGCACCTGGTTCTGATTTGCTAACAAGCATGCCAGGATTTGGCCGATACTTCAGGGGATCTTCCTCATCTTGAAAACTTTTTTCCTTGTCGTCAGGGGTGGATATCTTCTCAGATACAAAATTGCTGGCAGCCCGTATGAGCTTCTGAGTCTGGTACTCAAGCTTCTTATCTATTGGACGAATCTACACAGAAATTTTTTCAGGAAATATCCAAATTAAATGATGCTAAGAAGAAAAATGAAACATAACACTGGTGCGAGGAACAGACCTTCTCCAGGAATAACCTGATCTCCACAAGGCTCTTTACAACAGGATGGTCCTGAACGGATAATCCTTTTGCCTTGCGAAGCAGATAGTACACGATAGATTGACAGTAGCTGAGAAGCAATAGATACTTTGCATCTAGATAACTCATACCCTCAGATGTTGGAAATTGGTTTTCTCTCACCTAATGGACAAAATTATGATTCTACAATCAGTGCTCATACATAGAGACCACCAAAAAAAAAAAATCATTTTTTATTTTCATATATCAAGTAATTAAGACTGTATTCCGATTAACTATTCGTAGATTATCATTGTGCAGCTTAAATACTTAAATTGTAAGCCACATTTATATGCAATAAAGCCACACAAACTCAGACAGAAAAACAAAGTAGAAACCAAAAAAACTCCCTAAAGCTTCACAAATTAGGACAATGCCAAGAAAAGCAACCCTATGTCAACTTCATGGAGCAAAAGAAACGATGTTACAACTAAAACATTAATAAACCAATGCTGAAAAAAGTCTTTCCACTTGATTATTTTCCAGAGAAAAATCTAACAATTCGATCACGATGAGCTTTCATATCATTAAAATTTATCATAATCATATATCATATTTTGGTTTACTTTCATCCTGAATTCAAACTGAGAAACATGAGGTAAAAAATACAAAATTTACTGCAAGAGATTATATTATTCAGCTAACCCAAGCAGGAATTTCTTTTGCTCCCAACTTTATGGCCAAAAGCACGAATCTTTTTACAAAGAATTTAGCAAACAAGAAACGGGAATAAAAGAGTGACAATATAGAAGCACAACAAACGCCTACCACCTTCTGTGTGAGGACGTCCAGTTTGCTCCTCACGACATCCAACCCATCCTTCATCTCTTTCAACAAGGCCACGAGCTGAGGAGAGTCCCTAAATCGATTAGGGTCCCAGACCAAATATAAAGAAACCATCAGAAAGGCTAAGAGAGGGGATGAAAACATAGAAGACTGAGTATCCGAGAAGGCACACCTCGTTAGGGGCAGGGCAAGGGATTCCTCGCCGCCGCTTCTCGACTCGTGGTGGTCGCTCATAATCCCACCGAGGGCAAGGCGACGGCCTGTCATCCAGATGAAGCACCTGGCAGAGGAGGCCGGTGGAGGTGGGATTCCAGGAAACAGAAGCCGGAGTCTTTAGACGAGAAGAACGAGGCACCG